CTGGAACACTTCAGGGGCCGATACCAAACCAAAGGGCATGCGTAAACAAGAGTAGTGCCCCCAAGGTGTTGAAAACTTACTTTTTCAAGTAGTTTGGATGTTCTCTTCGTAACTTTTATCTGCCAGAACCCTTTTTTACAGTCTAGGATGGTGAATAATGTAGAACCATTCAATCTAGCTGAGATGTCCTCTAATGTAGCCAATGGGAAATGTCTACTCTTTACATTTTTGTTTAGATTAGTTGGGTCAATGCAAAGACGTATTTTGTCTGTTTGTTGGACTATAACCATAGGAGACACACAAAGAGTAGGCTCACTTACTGGAATCTTGTCTTTTACCATTTTTGGTCAAGTTCTACTTTCACTGCTTCACGTATTGGATGAGGTATTCGCCTGGGTGGTCGTATTTTGAAACTAGGATTTTCCACAAGATCAATGTCATACTTAAATTATACCAGCAATCCGTTTGGCGAACCCTAGTGTTTCACATGACACTCTTCCTAATATTGATTGATGCCCATTTGGAACCATTACAAACAAGACGGTGTCTTTATGAGACTTTTTGGTTACAACTGGACAAATGGCTTCACCCAAAACTGGAGTTTTTTTTAAATTTGTGTGGTATTTCCAGATTCAAGAACGTTGTTAAAAAGAAACAAGGCATTTAGTTGCAGAAGGTACAATGTTAAGATTACAAGCTAGCGCCAAATCTTAGGAAATAACATTGCACTGAGCCCCAGTATCTAATTTAAACTGCACAGTTTTGTTATTTGGCAATTTTAAGGGTTCTGTCCAATCTTGATTCTTGACCGTGTTAGAGATGCAATCAACATGCAACGGATAATCAGAATCTTCGTTCTCTACAACCTCTAAAACATCAGTATTTTCACTCTTACTAGGGGATTCTTTCGAGTTTTACACATCTTAGCAAAATGACCTTTAGTCAAGCATTGATTGCAAGTTCGATTAAAAGCTGGACATTGGCCTCTAGAGTGTTGTAAACCACAACGTTTACAGTCAAAGACGTAGGCCTAGAAAAGGAATCACCCCTTTTAACAACATTAACATTTTTAGGGCTGTCAGAGGATATTTCTGCTGTTGTTTCTTAGCTTATTTATGTGCCCTACACTTACTAATCGCATCATCTAGGGTAAGGTTATCATTATACAGTAACTTTTCCCTTGAGTTAGAATCTGATATGCCAATTACTAATCTATCTCTAATCACACTGTTTTTTAGCTGCTCAAAATTACAAAAATTAGCTTGGTTAACCAATTTTGTAAAAAAATCTTAAAAACTTTGATGGGTTTCTTGGGTGATTTTGTTGAACAAAAATCGCTCAAATACTTCATTAGATTTACCAACAAAAAACTTATCAAACCGTTGATCAACTTCATCTAATTCAATATCTTCATCATCCATGAAACCTGAAACCAAAACTGTTATATATATCTATAACATCTGGGCCTAAACTAGACATAAATGATGCTACCTGTACTGCATTATTTGATTTCCTATCAAGGCCAGAAGCTGTGTAGTACCATTTCCAATGTTGCTTCCATTTCTTTCAAGAAGGAGCCATCTGAGTACTTGAAACCACAAGACATTTAGGTGGTTTTACATTATTATCCTTGTCTTCTGTATGGTTTGTATGGATACCATCATCTTCCTTAAAGGCATACCTTTTATTTCTATTCCGTGTGGGTTTCGGCACCATGTCATTATATTAATTATTAAATAATTTTACTGAACTAGTAAACATTCTTTAATTGCAAAGAAGTAAAGTAGTTATTTAAAAACAAATAAAAGTCATCATAATTTCCGATGAGTTTAAAAGACTTTGAATTGAAAAATAAATAACAGCAATTAAATTATACCGCTGATCAAAATGTAAACAATTATGTTCTTCATAAGGATAACATGGGAACTTTAACAGCCACTGGGGCAGAGCCCAATGGACTTTTTCAAAAATGTAAGGTCAGTTTGCAAATCTACGCGACACGCTCTTTCCAATGAGACGTCAATGGATAAAATCGGTTAAGAAATGGCAGAGGAGTTCAACCGACAAAGTTTCATGTAGCGTATTAATTATATAGATTCATGAAAGGTTGTGTATTTCTATTTAAACAAAAACTCAATTAAAATATCAAACAATAACAAAACATATGTTGAACAATTACCATATGTTATTAACATATTAACTACTACTGTCACACATATTACTAACAACACAGACCTGTCCTTTATGGAGCTGAAACCTGGGTTATGGATAAAACACAGAGAAAAAACTGAATACTTTTGAAAATATTTCCGTGCAAAATCTTTGGCCCTACTTAAGAAGAAGACTTATGGAGAATTAAACATAATCAGGAACTAAGAGACCTGGTCAAAGGGGCCGGACATAATTGCATAGGCTAAGAGCAGGAGGCTTTGCTAGACGGGCCACATCATTTGAAGAGAGGAAACTAGCACATTACATCAAATATGATCCACTGGGGAGAAAACCACGAGGGCGCCCACAGAAAAGCTGGACGGATGAAGTAAAGAAAGATATGGCCAGGATGGAAGTCAATGAAGATACCGAAAAAGACAGGGCGACGGGCGACATGGAGGCACTCTATTTGGTGAGGCCAAGTACCACTTAGGGTACAAATGGCCATGGGAGTAAGAGTAAGTAGTTAAGTAATATTTTTATTAGCCTTCAACAACCTAGAGGACAAAATTAAAATATATAATATGTTGAGTTGATTGTTAAAAAGACTATGAGATTGTCTTTTTAATTTAAGAAAAAAATATTGATCTGTGTATGCAATAGGTTTTAGAAAAATAAACAACCATCCAAAGCACGTTTTTAATTCTGAAATTTTATCCTCAGGCCTGTGATCCTATGGTTGCCTGAAATATATTGCTTTGTGAATATCTTCTGTTACCATGGACTATAACCAACACAAGTAGACATATTGTAAAATCAAGATTGTTATTCATGTCTAGTTATGTTTGGTGACACTGGGCAATAGTGTCGACGAAACTTTGTGTATATTATTTTATGGTTAATTCTAAGATGTATGTTATTATTTCTTTTATTATAACCAGGGGACGTGCTATTGTTTATTATTAGATCATTTTGAAGCCACAGCAGCAGCATCAATGGCCATGGTATATTTGCTGGAATGCTCTGTGGGTTAGTTTGCTTTATTTTTGTCCCACAAACGAGAGCTTACTTTAATACGTAAAATTAATAGGTGTTTAAGACGCCATTTTGTTAAGACCAGAACCAAGTAACTTCTTTAAACAAAAATTCAATAATCAAAATGCGTCGTGGAGTGGTGTTTAAAAGAAATTATGCCCAATATAGTTTTCTAATAACGATTTGTAGGAAAGTAACTTTAACCAAACTAACATAGGGGACGAAAAAATTAGGCTATAGGGCCAAGGGGCGCCAAAATGCTAAATCCGGCCCTGTCGTTGCCACTTCCTCAGTTCCTTGTCTGAATGTCCTTTGTTGCATGACTACTGTCTAGGGATCCGGGCCCCCTGTCTGCCTGAGCCCCTGGGAAATTGAACTAGTGCCCCCCCCCCCCTGTCACTGGCCCTGACTACATCACTGATGAGATACCAGTGGGAATACTCCAAGAATCTAACACAAGTGTCCATAAAACCTAGTCTAAAGCCATATTTACAAAATTGTGAGTTTTATAGCGTTTTTTTAAGTGGGGGGATTTAAAAGATGAAATAAGACAATGAAAAATGACTTGAATTACAATGTTAACACATTTTCCTATAGAACAGTGTTAATTTGTGATTAATAATTATTTATGGCACACCATGGCGTATCATATGAACCGAAGTCTAGGAGTGTAGTTTTCAAACATTGTTCCTACTTCAGCTAGCTTTCAAATGGGGGTGTATTGCAACAATAGTACGACGGATGCTGACTCCCAAGTTTTCCAGAGTTTTCCATTTACAGTAATTTGGATTCATACCCTATTTGTTGAAAAGTATGTTTTAAAATTCAACTTCATCACTGCACTTCCTATATATGAGTTCACCATTTTGCCGACATGCCTGAATTAATAAACACTAATTGTTAATTGTTGTACGAGGCATGTTTTTTAAGCAAGTACCGTTTTACATTTCTACGATTGGCATTTTGGACACTTGTGCTGTGTATGTGCATCTATTGGCAAGCCTGCGCCGGAAATTTGGAAACAGTCGGCCGCGTTTACATTCGGTTTTGAGCATTTAAAATGGTGCCGCCAATTGAGACTGCCGCCTACTGTGAAGTGCGAGCTGGAATTAGATTTTTAAGTGCTAAAGGTGTGAAAGCCTGAAGTTGTGATTGAAATTCATTATGAGATTATTGAAGTGTATGGCGAGAACATTATGAGTAAAGGAAACTCCTCAGATAATAATAAGATGGTCAACCGACTGTTCTCTCTCACTTTTTTTTATCGACTTTACGCACCAATTCGTCAAGCAATGACAGGGCCTAGTGGCCGCTCATCATAAACGTTGGTGCGGCCGTCTTTAAATGCACTTACCCACTTGCGTACGTGTACCATTCCGTCACTCATAATGTTCTCGCCATACACTTTACTAGTCTGTCGATGAATTTCATTGGCTTTCACACCTATAGCACTTAAAGTTCTAATTACAGCGCGCACTCCACAGTCGGCGGCAGTCTCAATTGGTGGCACCATTTTAAATGCTCAAAACCGGATGTAAACACGGCCGATTGTAGCCAAATTTCCGGCACAGTCTTGCCAATAGATGCACATACACAGCACAAATGTCAAAAATGCCAATCGCAGCGCTGAAGGGAGAAATTTAAAAATGGTACTTACTTAAAAAACACGCCTTGTATAAAAAATACACAACCATGGTAATATACGTTTTCATTTACTTTTGTATTTAATTTTTAAAATTGTACCACTAAAAAATCCTGTAGTTTTAGTTACATCACCAAAACGCCTCATGATGCTAAAAACATCTGTAACTCACCTGTAAGTGAAGGACCGTCCAGTGAGCCAGGTTTGGGTGAAGAGGCTCGTAGAGTGGAGGTCTCTTCTCCACTGCCACTGTCTGCGGATAATTGACTGTCTGACCGCGGGGACTGAGGGGGCTCCTGGTTAGGGGAGGGGGAAAGGGATAGGTCTTCAGGGGGAGGAGGTGGCGGAGGCGGGGGAAGTGCTGATCCTGGCTCTGACACCACTCGCTTCAGTGCTCTGGAACAAGGGGAAAACCTTTGTAATATATTTTATGGAAGAAACCATACTGGAGTGCCGAGTTTGTGAGGTCCAAGGATTTCAAGTCCCCAATGTTGTCTAAAAGATTCAAACTTTGTTACAACTGTTAAGGTGACCATATGACTCCACTAAGGTAGGCTTGCTGCAATAGAGTTGACAGTCAAAGTTTTCTTACTCATGGCGTTTGGTAAATAAGTCTTTAACACGTTCGCTGCTACGGACGTTCCGGAACGTCAAACGGGCCACGGCGCCAGGAGCTAGGAACGTTCCGGAACGTCGCCGTTCATCGATGTTTAGCGTTACCATGGATCAGCCAGCTCGTCACGAGCGTCCTATATTTCTTTGCAGCTCGTGGGGATGTACTTTTCTGACAATAAAAAATATAGTTTCCCAAAATCACCACCAGGGTCGTTTAGAACAGGGCTTTGTCCCACCTATTTCCTGCTAGATAGCGAGACTACTTTACCGACTGCAACCTGGGTAGTGCTGCTATCCATCAGAATCACTTAGTACTATGTCCAAAGCCAGTTTTATTGCAGAACATTGCCATCCAGTACAACTACTGTTGTTTTTACTGTAATTCAGTGTATCGGCAGCAATGTTTACGCAGCGGCAAGCGTTAGTTCAGCTCCTGGCGCCGTCCCGGCATCTAGCGGTCAGCAGCGAACGTGTTAACCCGAAGGTTACCAATGCAGTTGATAATGTACCTAGTTGTTTTCTTCTTAATCAATGAAAGTAAAACTCAAGACTTACTCAATATAAACCATTACTGCATATTTTATTAAAGCTTCCAAATAGCACCATTTACTTGAATAGTTTTATGAACCACTCACGGAGCAAGCTGCTTTCAAAATTTCTATTGCTGAAAATTCCCATGCTCTCTCTTAATTTTTTATTCATGTTCAATAAATTGTTTACTTTGAGGTTTAATTTTAGCTTGTTGTCAAAGCTGGTGTATGCAACAGAAAAAAAGAAATTCACAATCTGTCAGAGGTTCAATTTAATTATCTTCATTTTATTAAAAATTGGCAACAGTTTAAACATAGGAATGAGATGTCTCATTGTGTATATATATTGTCAAAAAGCAAAGCTTGTGCTTACCTGTTGTTGACTTGGTGGTACGGCATTGAGTGGCTGTGGTTCAATTTCGACTTTCCTTTCTGGGTCTGATCCTCACAGCTTGTTATTTCAGAGTGTTGTTTCTGAGGTGAACGATTAGCATTGGCGGGAGGTAACTCTGGAAAGCAAAACGCACTTTTAATAAATAAATGAATGAAAAACACTAGTTAAAAATTATGCTACCAGTCCTGTTAAGCCACTTAGGAGTAATTTAATCGTCGATCATTCACCTATTAGCCCAATCTTCAATCAGTTTTTCCCCTCGTTCTAAGTCATCTACTACCTTATTCTGTAAAAAAAAACTTTGAATTTGTGCTTTTGACAGCCAAAAGAAAAACAATTTTACAATAACGTGGCTGTTATTCTAAGAATATACTGTGAATGTGTTAGGTTTGCTATGGAAATTAAACCACAATATTATAAATATGGTACTTTAATACATTATTCAGAGATGGCAACGATACGAATATAGGTATATTAAGCCAAGTATGAATGGAGATGAGTGTAGGGTGAGTGAAGAAAAGTCTCGGTCTGTAGATGAGCTTACAAAAGAGAAACATGGCTCTGCCCCAGTGGCCTTTTAAGTCTCCTCCCCACATTTGTTTACATTATGACCATATGGATAATTTTACACTAATTTTTAATGAAACAGCTGTTAATTTTTAAATTGTATTTCAAAGGTCACGAGCTAAGTACAGTAAATATTTCATAAAATATGGGGTTGCTGTGCAAAAGTTCAGTCAGTTTTAATTTTTTTATTTGTTTTTAGTGGATATGTTGTTCCTCGAGGAGGTGGAAAACTTGGATTTTATGTTGGGCCCAACACTATAACAACATATCCAAAAATCAAAACTTCCCGACCTTTTGCATACCATCATAGATACGAGTAAAACATAGTCCCTTAGTAGATTTCCCATCCTTATGGAACAGCTAAAGCCAACTTTATTGTTAGTTCTGTCTGGTTTTCTGTTGCTGTCGTGTTTTATTTACAATTTGTTTCTTGTTATTTCAGTAATTTAAAACCTCGTTTAACGAAATAAAACTATCTAATCATAAACAATAACTGCTCTACTTATAACCAAATATAATAAATAACCAAATAGTGAGACACAAATAATTAGAAAATAACCCTGAAATAATATATCCATGTTTTTCCTCCTGGATTGATAAAAAGTACTACTAATAATAGGTTAAATACCTTATTTATGTCTTCAATCCGAGTCGTCTTTTATGATGACTAGTTTCGGGGCCAACAGCCCCATTGTCAAATCTTCTGTCTTGTTAACAAGACAGTAATTTAACAAGTCATAAGATTTGACAATGAGGCTGTTGGCCCCCAAACTATAGTCATCATAAAAAACTACTCGGATTGAAAACGTAAATAAGGTATTTAACCTATTAGTACTAAAATAATAGAAACAAATTGTAAACAAAACACGACATCTATAGAAAACCGGACAGAATTAATAATAAAATTGGCTTCAGCTGTTCTATAAGGATGGGAAATCTACTAAGGGACTATGTTTTATCTATAATACAACAATTGCTTAATTTACTGGACTATATTATAAGCATTTAGGCAGGGCCGGCCCTAGGGTTGGTAGTGCCCGGAGCAAACGTGATCGTGGCGCCCCCCCCCCCCCCCCAGTAATAGTCACATTCACATATTTTAATACTATGTTAATACAAATAGGCCCCTTTGGATGGCCCTGCATTTAGGGAATCTGGCACATCGCCAAAATATTTGGTAAAAAAATGTATCAGGCAGAAGGCTCAAAATATGAGGAGATCCATTCAGAGAACATCGAGCAGTGGCCTCAAATTACCAATAATGTCAGCCAGATACATGTAAAATTTTTCAAACTCAATAATATGAAAAAGTCCAGGCCAACCAAACAAAAAAACATCTTTGCTGTTGAATATTTAAAACTCATTTATACATTAAAACAGGTACTAACACTGATTATAATAACTATATCGTCAAAATGGAGTTTATGCTATACACTTTATGTTCATTTTGAGGAGCGAAGAGACTGTAATATGAATAAAATAGCTAATAGCAGGTAACATAATACATTTATTTTTACAATACGGTTTGCAGTTGAAATATTTACAAAAAAATCACATGGTCCTCTTAGTATTATCTTATTTAAGTTCTAAAAATACATAAAGTGTAATAATATTCCATGAATTTGTCTTAAACTTTAGACCATAGCAGAAAGATCTTCATTTTTAAAAGTTAAATTCAAGGTAAAAGTCCAGCTTGACTGATAATATGAAGAATGGCCAATCTGCCAGTGAGTGGTAATGAAGCGTACAAAGTACAGGCACATACAACGATTGTCCAGGAAACCACACTAAAATGGTGCGGGCTTTGTGGGGGCTGTTTGTTGTTATTCATAGGTGTATATAGTCTGAAACATTATAGCCTACCATATGTACATGACAAATTGTCATTCTCCACTTCTACCTCCAATGCATTCCTTAGTGTTTGATCTGATAACAAGACATTGCTGGCTAAGCTAGTAAACAGGCATTTTTTAAAATAATAATTATTGCAGTACCAGGTTGCACGTCCCCGGTGACAACAACGCTATGAGTGGAGCTTAGACTGTTGCTGCGACTGTGACTCCCAGAGTCCCTACTGTTGCTCCGCTGGCTCCGTGGAGCCTTGATTCCACCTCCGGCCTCCGCCCTCACCAGGTAGATGTCCTCGTAGTCGTGACCGGAGCCCCTCTCACTCAAGTCGGAGGAGCTCATCTCATCTGAGCCTGCTCCACTGGAGCTGCTGTGGACCTCCACCTTGACTGTAAAGGAAATGTAATAGGTCAAATCTCTTTCAAAGAAAATTAGCAAAAGCTTAAAAAACCACCAAAGAAATCTGAATTTAATTTTGAAAATGGAAATATGTTATGTGATTGAAGATTATGTACACTATAGCTAGGTGGCTGAGTGCAACAGTGTACGTCATCTTATCACAAGCTTGTCAGTACAATTCTGCAAAAAGTTAGAAGTTTTTTGATGGTTCAAATCTGGATCCAGCTGTCCTTGATCACTGGGATTTTAATGAATGATCCTAGCTAAAGAAACCGCTGGTTTTAAGGCAGGTTTGCACATGTGGCATTCACTGAATGCCAAGCATCTACTTGCCGAACCACAAAAAGTAGTCTAGTGTGGAAGGCCATTCTTCTACTTGTCATTTGGCAAACGATCAGTGGATCAGGGCTTGTTGTTTCCCACTCCATGTATTGTCTTACAGCATTCAATTTAACAATTAAAAATAGAATGAAAACTAGAATAATTTAAAAGAAAAAAAATTACATGGGCCTTATGGGTTGCCATTTTGGTGACGAAATAACAACAAAATATAAACCAACAACAAAACAAATGTAAGAAATTCCAATCAAATGTTTTATTCACAGCGTGGGGTGAAAATAGAGATGTTTGAACGATACATACTTTTGGTCAAGTTTTTTACCAAGGCGTGAGCTCGGGTCGCCGGATTTCTACCCCCGGATATTTACCCCCATGAAAAAACGCCTACGTCACTTTGACGTCACGTGTATGGGTGTAGATTTCATGCCGCGAACTTTTAGGATGGATAAATTATTATTTATTCAATCAACTCGCATTTCACGGTTTACATAACAGTTGTAATTAATCAAAATGCTAATAAACCTGACACCGGAACTTTACCCCCGGAAATCTACCCCCAAACGTTTTATTACTCTGAGCTCTGAGCTACTGGTAACAAATGCGATTAAATGTTGATAAAAAGCCTGCCACAGGTTGATTAATGAATTAATAATTTTTACTATCAATTACCTTCTAGTAATAAATAGCATAATCCCTATGCCGTAGACACTATCCGGAGTTTTACATTAGCCAAAAAGTCTAGTTGTTTACACAAATAATTAATTGTAAAAAATAAAACATATTTTATGATTGGTTCTGGTTGTCAATGGTGGTTGTGAAATAACGGAGAATAATGTAAAAGAATAAAATTGGATATTTCGGGATAGGGAAGGTATTTTTACCTCATGGTTTGGGTTTACGAATTTATTTAAATGAAATTAGAGTTTAGTATGAACATTGCTCAAAATTATATATTCTTTGGTCATTTTTACGTTTCATACATTAAAGAAGCCAAAACAAGTCTTCATCTCAATTTCTGTCTTGTCTGTATCAAGGCCCAGAAGGCATTTTACGTGGACTTCTCCTCAAAAACTAGAGCATCGATCGTGATTCGATTTAAATAGTCTTTTTGGATTCGGTGGATTGACACGAGTGTCTTAAGCCATTAAAATATGACCTCACTACTTTAGAATTAAAATAAATTTTGTTCAAACCCCCAATTTTTTGCATTTTTGTCAAGTTTACTCCTAATGTTTACCAGTAATTTATGAAATACTAATAATTTGTTTGGAGGATACGAAATCTATGAAATAACAAACAGCTGTGAAAGATGGAAAGTTGAAAAATTAAAAATGGTGGATTTTCAATCAAAAAGATAGTTTTAACGCTTTTTTTAACGTCTTTCTAATAGAAAATTAACATGAAAGGCTTAGGGGTCAACCTTTTGAAGCCCTAATCAAAATATCCTTTTTAATTACCATTTTGCTCTGCCCAAGATCTTAAGCTTTAAAATGACACCTCAATTGTAACAATCGGCGAAGTAGGTCGGGTGAAAAAGGACTGTTACAGCTTATTGAATTAGGAAGATAGATAATGTTAAACCAGACAATGACATATCGCATGCTCCATACTGGATATTACAAGACAATGATTAACCGAAGAGCCGTTGATTTCCGAGGGTAGAATTCCGGGGTCAGATATTTATGATTTAACCACTGGGGGTAGATGTCCGGGGGTAGATGTCTGGGGGTGGATGTCCGGGGTAGATGTCCGGGGGTATATGTCTGGGGGTAGATGTCCGGGGGTAGATTTCCGGGGGTAGATGTCCGGGGGTAGATATCCGGGGGTAGATGTCCGGGGGTAGATATCCGGGGGTAAATGTCTGGGGGTAGATATCCGGGGGTAGATTTCCGTGCTATGGCAAATCACTTTATAATCAAACAATTACATGTTGATTATTTAATAATATATTGGGGGTAAATTTCCAGTCGCGGGCTGTTTCTCGAACATGTATAGGCCCCGCCACCCGTGACGTCAAAATAGGCGTTTTTTCATGGGGGTAAATATCCGGGGGTAGAAATCCGCTACCCCGTGAGCTCTAGTTGAAATATAATTTAGTTCTTCGTCCATTAAAAACATCAGCAATGATAATAATACTATTGTGACCAAATGAAGTTTTTACTTCCGTACATTAAAACATCAGCAATGATCATAAAACTATTGTAATCAAATGAAATTTTTCATTTAAATGCTCGTATGGAAAACCAAGAGAGAAAATAAAACTTCAATGGTAGAACAACCTAAATGCTCATTGTAGTACTTTATCTCCTCTTTCAGTAAAACACCAACTTCAGCTGGTAATTTAGATAAGTTTCTTTAATCTTTAGTATCCAAAGTCAATCGCTAAACCATTTACATTTTTAGCATCAAGTAAAAGTATTCACTTCTACTTCGAACAATTTATCAAGTAAATTTTGAAACTACTGTATTGTAAGCTACTCTTACTGGGTTCTCAAACCTGTAACAACCTCGGAAGACTTCCTCTTCGGAGGGGAGGTCACTACTACATGGCCAGGGGGATCAGGGATGCCTATAGAAGAAACATCCCCCTCAGGGGAGGCCCCGAAGGCTTTAGGGGTTTTCCGACAACACAACCAACAAACAACCATGACACCGATGTACCACACACTCACTCAACTCTAGTGCAGCCTCTTATCTACTAAGATAACTCCACGTCAATCCCTCTCATTATTCATTTCAATTCATTTATTACCCTTATCACCATTGTCTGTCTCTAGTGCTCAATCATTCATAGGTCAAAATTAATCCATTAGAATTGTTATTTGATTTGATTTTGAATTGAAATGCTATTTTTATTGCTAACCAATAATCCAATCTGGTGCTAATAATGGCCAGTTTATAAAATTTGTATTATGTTTACAAAACTTAGTATTTTTTACTTAAGTAAACCGTTTGTTAGTCAAATTAAAACATTAGATATTACAAGTGCACCTGTTGCTCGAATTCGAGCAATTGCAAAGTATTACAGGCGTTATTTAAGAACGAACAACAGTCATAATATCCCAAGATTTAAAAGAGTCAACTGAAAGTTAATGTATAATCAATCACTCCTCTCCAGTTATCGAAACTGAAAACGAACTCACTCTGAAAACAAAAGCTCTTGTGTGTTTCATGTGTAGTAATGGTAGTAATTAACTTTGTGTACTGTGAACAGATGTAATTAATACAAATTATTTGTCTGTTTAAGTAAACAAAATATTTTCCTTATAAGTAATACATCGGTATTTTGATGGCCAGTGGGGCAAAGCCCAAGTAATTTTACTACAGGAATTGGTGAAAGAGGGGACGTCTACACAACAAATACTTAATTTTAACACATCATTTGTAAAAATCCATCTATTATTAGCGGAGGAGTAGTGTTTCATAGAAATCGCCTTCACGTATTAAATATAAGGATTCATGAGATAACACTATTCATCTGTTTAAGTATCGTATAAAATCAATTCCATGTTCATCCTAAAACAACAACAAAGAACCTGACCTTTATGGAAATTTTATTGCATGTTTGTTTTTCCAAGCAAACCAAACACATTTAAATCAGCTTAGTAATATTGGTAACCTGTATAGGCCAGTCACCTAAAACATTTTAAAAGGAAAAGTTTGTAAAAAATGGCGTGATTATGATTTTTTTTATGTTGTTAGGATATATGAGAACTGAGAACCAAATTTGCAGCTTCGAAAGACCTGCAAAGACCTGCTTGGCTCGCTGCACAAAGGTCGTAAAAACTTGATTTATTTTACTTAAATTTTTTTTACAAAATCTCAAAAACCATGGATTGTACGAAAGAAAGCCCCCTTACATTTTTTGAAGTAAATTAAATTACCTACAATTTGGTACCATAGTTGCAGATCTGTATCCATTGTAGACTTTGAGATACAACATTAAGAACTAGTTGGGAATATATATTTTTTTTTAAATTTTACTGCCCAAAGTTGTTTTAAGCTAAATATCAGCTTTAATACCCACCCTACCCACCCTCTTGGATGACTGGTCTAGTATAAGAAGATTAGCTTGAGGAGAAAACCCCATTATTTTTGTTTCATTTATCAAAATTTTTTATTTTATTTATGTCCTTGTATTTTTACTATCTAGAAAACACATGATGATCGCAAGCACCATTAATAAATAAACTAATACATAATACCCCCCCAGCAAACCTGCCGACTAAGCAAATTTCCATTCCTCTGAATTGATTTTAAATTAAATCTATTTAAATAACGTTAGGTTTAACGAGTAGCTAGGTTTGCTGCTACAAAGAAACTAATAAAGTGGGGTTTTTTTTATAAAATGAACAAATTTGCCAAGTTTAATCAAAATATATCCATAACCAAGCAAACTACAATATTTTACAATATCCTCCATAAGAATAATGAATTTTAAATTTACAATTTTTTTAATTTTCTCGGTTACTAATAACTGCACAAATACGGTACACATTGATATAATAAATTATTAGTTTTTTAAGCTCTTTTAAAAGATCTAGAGAAAAATTGGGAAATTTTGTGTTTTTAGGGTCAAAAATGAGAAAACCCAATATTTACCCCATAAAACCCCCGGTAACCCCGTTTCCATGGTCCATCCGATCATCCTGGTTTGTGAATTCATTCAAGTTTATCCCTCCTTATACCTTTAAACCATATTTCATTAAAATCGGACAAAAATCACTCAAGTTATCGCGTTTATGGACACATACATAACACTATGTATATATGTATATATATAGCAGCATTTCATCCTATGATCTACAGACTAATTATACTGCCACTCAACAAAACAAATTTTGATAAAGAAAAACAAAGGAAAAAAGAAGAGAAATTGAAAAAAGAATACATATGTCTTCCTCATAACTCTAAATTAAATAAAGCAATAATGGAACACTTTTCCAAAAACAAATTACAAAGCAACATATATAACAAGAACAATGTCTTTAAAATTATAAATTCAAAAGTTTCCAAAAATCAAGAAATCACTGAAAAACTATCAAAGTTTAACAAAAGCGGCATTTACAAAATTTCCTGTACAGACTGTAACAAGTACCTATTATATCGGCCAAACAAGTAGAAGCTTCAAATGTAGACTCCAAAAACATTATGCAGGCATTTAAATCTAAAAATTCCACAAGCATGAAATCAAACTACGCAGAACACTAAGGCTACTAAAGACTAAACCCAAACATCAAAACATGGAACATAATCAGTAATTGAATTTGAACCAAACAAATACAAATTGTTCATTAAAGAAGAATTCTACATACATAGCTACCATAAAAATATCCTGAAAACATACCGGTACTCAATATGATGCAAATCCAAAAAGAAAACCTAATATATAAACAAATCTTATACTATAAATCAAAAGAAAACAAAGCCTGAGCCAACACTATGTTACAAGACAAAATTAAAATTCCAAAATCATTATGATAATTTACTTATTTATTATTTACATTTCTGTTTATTTTCTATTTATTCATAAACTATGATCATGGCCTAAGAGCGGAAACATGTTAGTCATTCAATAAATTAGTCAATCAATCCTATATTGTCGTAGATGACTATAGTTTCGGGGTTAAAACCCCATTTTCAAATCTTCTCTTCAGTCGTCATATGTCAAACATATTCTCTTGCACAAGCCGTCGTCAAAATTACTTCACACATACTAACACATAAACACATACGAAAACATTTATAATACAAAATCATGTACATGCGCGTGAAGCCGGCCAAGGACAAAACCTCTCTCATGTTTTGTAAAAGCCATTTAACCCCAAAGTCAAAGCCGAAAATTACCCTTCCAAGACTCAAACTTTTAGGCGTGTTGATTGGAACAAGAGCGTTACGTTTTGTGGAAGAATCCTCAAAACTTCCTGTTGTAAATAAGATACTGTGGACTGATTCACAATGTGTGTTACATTGGATTAACACAACACAACAAAGCTGCTTCCTAAGTTTGTGGAGAGAAGAGTAATGGAGATCAAAACCAACACTGAGACGCAATTTAGATACGTTCCTACTGACGAAAATCCAGCTGATATGGCGACACGAGGTAAAACGGTGGATAATCTGAAACACTGCAATGAATGGTGGTCAGGTGAATGGCTGTCTTGTAGTCAAGACTTGTGGCCGGAATTATAGAAGTCAGCATCCGTCTTATTGCCAAAATACGCCCCCAACTGTTGGAAGGTGCGTTTGAAAATCGGGCTTACAGACTACTTCCTAGAAGCCCATCATGATGTTTAAACTCCCGAAATAAAGTTTAACAGAAATGATATAACACCTTTGTCCGTTGTATGAATAAATGAATTACCACAGTAATACTGAATAAGTAATTTTTCATTTTTTTTTTATTGCACCATTAAAAGAACCTACTTGATTAAATTTGAACAATTTGTTTAACATTTTTCAAACCAAGCAACATTTACTTATCTCACCAGTCAGTGGTGGGGGTGGAGGTGGTGGTGGAGGCTTGCTGTACGTGGTGAACCCTGATTGGTGCTTGTCAGGGTTGAAGAGGTCCTTGACCCTATGGTAGGGTACTTCCTGGGGGTTGTGCAGGTAGAAGCCACTGTTGTGGTTATGGTTGTGGGAGGTCAGGGTCATAGGGTTGATGTAGAGTCCATCCTTGGCTGGAGGAGAGTCCTTGACAGGGCCCGGGGGGTGCAGGTAGAATGGCTCCTTGCCATTGGTGTAGTTGATACAGTCTGCGTATGAACACTGTGGAAATATGGTTTTGTTACTGATACAAGCTAGCTGCTCAATACTATAAATGTATAAATATATCAGCTAGTCACCTTAAAGACTGATTGTATAGGCCTAAAAAAGAACATTGTTGAACGAGTCACTTTACAGTGTGCTAAGCTTCTCTTAGTTTTTTCCATTGTGATAGTTAATCTGACATAAAACGTGCTATAGCTTACATGAATGCTCCTTCCAGTTTAACTTGGTTTGAATTCTGTCGTATTTAACGGAAATCAGTAATTACATAAGAACAACCTGCCAGTGGCTTAATTAAACTAGTTCATTTTTATTGTAAAACTAGCTACAACTACGGTACAACTATACACAGAAATTCGTATAGTCAATGCTAGAACTTAGGCTAAAAATGTTATGGCTAGTTGATTCAATCGATATTTTAAAATTGAGATAAGACTCGTTTCGGCTTTCTTAGGCTATGAAACGTAAAAATAACCAAAACTGCATGATTCTAAGCAATGTACAGACAAAACTGTAATTTTATTTATATAGATAGTATTTACAAACTACCTGTTGTACCCGTGCTTTGCAACGGGAAGAGGACGTGAAATAGAAACTTTTGATAGGTACATAAAACATATATTTATCTTTGTATACAATATTTATACATTTTTGCCAACACTTTTAGAAAGAAAAATTCAACCATACCACATTGGATAAACGTTTATGGCCTTTAATTCAGATAAGAAGTGGAAACCGTAATTTGGGTTAGGATTAATTTTAAATGTTGTATATAATATAAGAAAATCTTACTGACATTCCAATTACATTTCTATATACTTGAACTTGTTTCTCCTTGGTCTCCCTTTTTACTTATCCATATTTTTAATTTTTGAGATTTTAAGTTTTAATCTTTAAGTTTCAAAACTACTAATTGTTTAATTTAAATAAACAAATTGTATAAGTACATCGATCTTCTTCAAACCAAATCACAAATTTCTAAATCACTCACAAGTCATAACCTGTATCGATATCTATCTATCTATACTTAGAAAGTTGAGGTGGTGTCTGTCTATCTGTCTGTCTGGGCTGCTGTCACGACTAAAATACTAAACAGATACAGCCAAAATTAAGCACAAAGATAGTCCTCATATCTAGGAACGTCAGGTCTATTCACTTCCCTGAGTTCCTCTTCTCTACGAGTTCTTGAGTTCTCTACGGCTTTTGGATGTCCAATGTTTTTAGGCGAGGTTTTCAAAAGTAGATATTAATTGGTCGGCTTGGAAGTATGAGTAAATTCACAATGTTTGAATACAGTGTTGAACATAATTTACATAATGTTTGAATTTCGAACATGTGAATAGTCCTATTGCTATTACCGTTCTTGTTCTTGGTATGGTAGCTATATTTTTGAATAATATAAGCCCAGTCAGTTCAGTAGTTTTTACATTATTAGCAACACACACACACAGACAGACACCATTAGATTTGTATATAACAGTACGGATGTTAGAGCTTTGTAGTGTTAAAATTAATATTTTAATAGACAAAGTTGTTACTATTATCTACTTGATTTGTCTTCCAATAATTCAGCTTGACTGATTCAGTATCCGAAAGCGCAAAAAAAATAATTATTCATAAAAGATTTGTTAATATTAATCTACAAACAAATATTTGAATACACATTCGAATGTCTAGCAAAATATTAGTACATACAGTAGAACCCCTCATATCCGGCCACCACGGGACCAAGCCCCTGGCCGGATAACGATTTGGCCGGATAAACCAACCTACCTACTATGAAAATGACAATTCATACCTAATAATAATAGGTAATCAATATATGCAATCAAAAGTATCATTTAATTCTGTTCTGGGATCATTTTTAGGAAAATAAACATGTCTGTAAAAAGGAAAAAATATTTGTAGGTTAAAGTCGGTACTGTAAGTAATGAATGTACAAATATTATGATTCCAGGTAACTAAACATATTAAATGGAGGTAAAAATGACAATAAATTGTACTTAAAGATCATTAGGACTTAAATGGTACTTGAATTTCTACTCAACATTCTTAACCATTTTGTGAAATACAAAAATTAATGTACTCGTACTGTACTGTACTAAACCCACTTTGGAAATAATCAGCCAACTGATCAGAGGTTAGGCCTACTAGCTCAACTGAGTATAGTGACTCAGCAAATAAATGTATAAACAAACAGATAAATAATGAGAACAATTTATTTTATGACTTGAGCAGTCACAAAGACTAGTGCTTGTATCTAAACGTCTGTAAGGTGTGAGAAAAAATTTTGATATTGGCTTCCTGGAAGGGGCCGGATAAACAGAGGACCAGTAAAACCAAGGCCGGATATGAGGGGTTCTACTGTATTTGTTTTTACAAAAAATATGTACCTATTCATTTAAATATAAAAAATGTTTTTAAATTAATATTTATTTGCTTTTTAACATCTTTCAACACAAGAATTATTACAAGAATATTTCTTAACATTATTATTTTTGTATTAAAATACATGTGTATATCCTGGGCTGCAACATAACTGAACAAGTAGGGTTTACTTACCTCAATCAGCTAAATGTTATAATGTTTAATTGGTTGTTATTTTTTGAAAATAGCCAAGAATATTTTTTGCATGTAGCCGTGAATATTTTCCTATGTGAATATTTTACACATAGTTTTTATGTCAACGTGAATACTAAGCTGTGCATGAATATTTATCGACAGTTACTCACCACAGAGTCCCCAGCCCTGCAGGTACAGCCGTGCAGTTTGCCCTGGTAAAGGTCATCATGGTAGTCCGGAGTGGTACCTCGCTGTACCAACAGGTTCAGGCACTAACAGACACATCACAGTTAGCTAGCAAGATTGGCATATATTACAATTCACCGATTTTTTAAAATCATACTCCAAAATTAAACTATTTACCAGGTAGACCTATTCAGGTATGATCAAATGTTGTTGAATTATATTTAAAAACGTTAGGTCCTAATAACATTGATTAATGTTTTAGTACTTCAATTTTAGGTTAAATCAAAGTTTATTTTGAATATGCAAGAATATTGGGTTGCAAAAAATAAATATTGCCTTTTTAAAATCCCACCCCAACCTAACAATGGAGGGAGTCTTTATTATTAATTGTTTCCCCTGATCACTACTGAGGGTATATTTAGCTAGTTGGGTAACCCCTAAAATAATCTTGTCAATCTCTCCTAACACAGTGTTTTCTGAAAATTCAGGAAACAATCTTAGCAGAAAAATTATAAAACTAGCTTGTAAAGCAAACCTTGAAATAAAGATTAAATGGCAATCAAATCGTCTCATACCTGCAAGAATTGAACACTACCATTTATTTGTAGCAGCCTTTTAAATCAGTAAAGTAAATAGCACGAATCTTAATGAGTTTTTAGCAACGTTTTTAAATATTCTATCAATTACACCAGTATCGCTCTGTACCACCACCATAAAATGGACCAATATTGAACAATAATCTTTATTTGAAGCAAAATATACTATTCAAATGGTCAAATACTGTAATGAACACCACTTTCCCTTAACTTACCGATTATAAAACAGAACCTACTTAAGTAATTATGACAGAAGATGTCAAATGTACAGTAGTTTTCTTTGACACCTTCTGTCGTACTATGTAAGTAGATTTTCATACAAAATTGAATATTAAGGGTGTCAAGGCTTTTCAATTTTATACTCTAATGATCGTTGTAAAAATGTGAACAAAATCAATACACAATATTGATTTATAATATGTACCATCAAAATGTCCAAAATTCAATTATCCGGTTAATTTTACCCCAGTTCACTATCTCCTGAAACTAAGTTAAATCCATATAAACACACGTAACATTTCCCTGACCGTGCCCGTTCCCCGCGACCTTCAAGGCTACGTCCACCGGGCCTCTGCCCCGCGGGCACATCCTCCGCTACGATTATTATTTATTTTCGAGCAAAGGTGTCTGGATCCGACCGGATTCCCCATAACGCCAATTATCGTCAGAAGTAGGTCGCAATGGAACCAGTTGTGGATGGCCCGTTATGCTGTCATGCAGCTCCGCTCACCGAGTACTCGGTACTTGCACCCGGGGACGGAGGACTTTGCCCCAGTGGCTAGCGATGAGCAATTACAACCAGCTCCGGTAACTAGGTCTAGGTGCCCACATGACAATCATCAGGTTGTGATGTTTGAGGTTGAACGTTAACATAGTAGAAATTGGGCTCTAATTTTGCTCTAATTGGCGACGGTAAGTTTGGTCAATTGATCTTGGTTCTAGATTTTGTAAAGTATATTAGGAAAACACCCTTCAGCACGTAAGGTTTTCCAAAATTGAGATTTCGTGTTTAAAAAGCCCGAAATGCAGCTGACACGTGATGTCCAAAAATGATCTACATCGTTACATTTATACTAACACAGCAAATCAATCATTTTGCTCAACATTTTTATTATTTCACTCTATTTATAGCAGTTAGATGAATTAGCGTAAGCCTTGAAATTAGCCGTCGATGTCGACGGGTTTCACCTAGTTGATACTAACACAGCAAATCAATCATTTTGACGGGGAACTCAAACACAGATCACGCTTACTTAATATCACCCAAAAGGAAGTTTATTTTATTGTGTCTATGACTCACTAAAAGTGTTTATGTTTCAGAAAAAAATATTTACACGGTAGGTTAACCTAAAACATACGTGGAATTCGTAAAACCCCGTCCTCTGCAATTAGGACTAAAGGGCGAGAGAATATACCTATCTAAAACATGTATCGAAGTTTTACAAGATATGTGCTTTCTTACGCACTGTAACATACTTCATACTGTATTTTGGGGCAAACTTAATAGTAGGGCCAATAGTGTTTAGAAAGAGACACTTTTAGACAAAGCTCCATTTTCTTTGAATTTTAGAGTCGCAATCTTACGAAATTGTTCAATTAATTAATATCCATACATTTTCTAAAATTAGACTTAAAAACTATTAACAAGTATACACGATAGTCTGTGGCTAAAGTCTTAGTAGAATGTGTCTATATATATTCATTGACACAGACACTACTACAAAAGAACAAGACGTTTAAAGCTCACATATAACATGTGAACTAATTTATTCGGTACAAGTTTCATTCATGGGCGGCAGCCCAGTACTGGTATTGATATTTAACTTCTGCAAATAAATGAAATATTATGATCACATCCATAGAATAGTTAGTTGTATTCTTTAACTTATATCAACTATTAAAAAAGGTTAAAATTTATTTAGCTTTACGATGATCGAGTAGCAAAAACATAAAGAGTTGCTGGACTGAGGAGGTTGGTGCGACATGAAATCAACCTCGTCGCGCTATTAATCACTACTACATGTGTACATGTTGCTCGAATTCGAGCAATTGCAAAGTATTACAGGAGTTATATCAAAATGAATAACAGTCATATTTACAATGAATTTAAAAGAGTCAATTGAAAGATTACCGGTGTGTAACTCAGCCCATGTTTATCTTCGTTATTGATAAACCTAAAGCAATCCGGCCGGTTTTGTCCTTCTCTAAATGCCTCGCTGTACAGGCAACACAGGTCATTGATAGAGGGCCAATTTAGAACGAAAAGTCGTTTTGGGGTAGTGTTCGGGCGCATTTGTAACCTAATAGTTGAGACTGTCCAGGGTCAGGTGCTGACTGTGATGAGTTAAGCCTATTACGCAACACTGTACTGTAGCTGCGGTGATCGTTATCACGATTACGCCTCCTGTCTATGTTTCGTTGTCGTCGCGTCGGAGGTATTTAAAAGACAAAAACAACAAATAAACAAATTATAGCTACACAAAAGAACGATAAATGCACAAATCTAACTTACAATCATGATAACACGATCCGACATAGCGACACAAAACAACGATACATACAAAAATTTAGGATACAACCATACTAACACGATCCATATTGGGGGTTTTGTTTACACAAACTCAAATAGTAAATAAATGTACTAAATGCGCTTCATTGAATTGAAAAATAACTAACAGCAATTAAATTATACAGCTGATCAAAATGTAAACAATTATGTTCTTCATAAGGATAACATGGGAACTTTCTAAGCCACTGGGGCAGAGCCCAAGGGACTTTTTCAAAAAATGTAAGGCCAGTTTGCAAATCTACGCGACACGCTCTTTCCAATGAGACGTCAATGGATAAAATCGGTTTAGAAATGGTGGAGGAGTTCAACCGACAAAGTTTCATGTAGCGTATTAATTATATAGATTGTTCTATGGCTTTAGAATCAGAGTCTTTATTGTCAGTATACACTTTCACAAATGTAATAGACAAAGTCAATTTGTTGTTTCTAATGCAATATTAGTTTGCAATGTAGAGAAGGGAGTTCTCAAATACACGACAAGTTTAAGGATACTAATAGTTTTTTGTTTTCTATATCTCTGAATAAAAAGCTTAATTTCAGCTTCGAACTGCGAACTCATAATCACATGGCAGTCTTCGATGATTTGTGACATATGCTCTCGGGCCTCCTGTACAGAAAGATCAAACTCTAATCACTATATCAACAGCACGCGTTTCCCCTTTGGGTCTGGATTCTGAGCAAGTCAATGAGAAAAAAGAAAACTAACAGCTCGTTAAGTCGATTATACCTCCGATCAAGATACACTCCATTGTCGTTTAAACTGAAGTCTAATCCACACAAGGTTCGTTTCCCATGTTCAGGACTGAACCAATCATCCGCGACAAACAATTTTCAACCGACACTAGTTTTTAGCCAATTGTCGTTTCGATAATCGAATTAATGCAAAAGGAAGAGCGGACCAAGAGAGATTGTGGTTAATAACTGGAGATCCGTATCCCCAACTCGGCCTGGCGAGCGGCGAGCGCGGCTACTCGCTGTGACGTTTGGCACACTATAGACTTCAAACTTTCCCTGATATGATATTAACGGAATCAATCAAGTGAGCAAGTGAGCTCAGCGAAAGTGTGATTATTGGACTGTAACTGCTTCGCCCGTCGATCATCTTTTGATGGACGTCTTGCATTCGAAATCGATGTTTGGTGGGTAAAAATGTCCACAGTGTGAATTGATCTAAAGTCGAAAATAATTAGAGGAAATCCTGAGAAAACATGTCGTCCGTTTATATGCTCGTTGTGTTATAGAAACTGATTGAATTACATCCTATAAATCAGAAAATATGTTTATAATAACTATTATGTTATGTTTATACACGAATCGATTCGCGGACCGAGGAGCGCACAATACCTGCTATAATGGGAGGTCAGAGGTCATAAATAAAATTCGTCGTAGTAGGACCGAGGAGCACAGAGGCACTTGCGCTCCTCGGTCCTACCCGTGCAAGAAAATAATCTCATACTTTTATAAGGGTTGAATGTTGAAAGAGACAATGGCTGGATCGACCCTGCGAGTAAATCTCATTAGTCGCGCCTCACTGAATAAACCATCGAATGAAAACCTTTACTCCTTAAAGTTCGTACTCCTAACTGATTATTCAAGCACAAATTTATTTTATCAGAATTTACTTAGCCATTTCTAAAATAATTGTTTAAGCATCGTGTGGATAAATGTTATAGCTTCCGGATTACAAAAAAAAAATAATTACACTATTTTGACAATTACTTCAATAACAATAACTGGCACTTACTATTGAAACTCTGAGATTATTTATCAAAAGAGAGTTAATAAAATAATATTTTCCAAGATAAAATTATAAATAAGAGATTTTAAAATGTAAAGTTATTATCGTTTAAGCCGCTTTTACCCGGGGCCAGTAGAGCAGGCAGGTTGCCACTATACAAAATAGGCTTCATGCAAAAGATACGGTGTTGTACTGTCCAACGATCCATGATTACTCAAATAGCATGATATTTGTTGTTGTTTAATACAACAATGAAGATTCTACGAGTAACCACAGCTGATTGACATAGGTTTTAAAATGACCCGTTATTTATGGACCCTTTATTTCAAGCTACAGTACCGAAGGTAACAATTCTCTATGTGTAAGTTTCTGGCCACTGTTATTTTTTTATTGTTAACATTTTAACTCATTTTGTTATTGATTCATAATTTTTTTTTTTTGTAAATAATATGACATACAGTAGCTCCATTTCGCCTATGTTTTCGAGAAGTTAAAAGAAGCATAAAATTAACAAATAATTAAATACTTTATTTGCACTTATAATTTTCATTACCTTTTTTTATTTATTTATAATGGAAAAATAAACTAATTCAATGGATGGGCGAAATGTTCTATACATCATAAAGAGGATTTGGTTTCTGCATGTTGAATTGATCTAAAGAGAATTTTATAAAACTTGATGTAAAATTCGGTTCAGTTTTTGATCAATTAGGTGTACATCTGAAAGCAATTATGTTCATGAATTCAAATTTATTTAAGGATTTTATTAACCATTCCTGCATAAAAATTGTATATTTATAACGAGGGGACCCATGCGTAAATTTGAGCATTTTAATATGGTTCAAAACCTTTTTTTAAGGTTATAATGCATGACCCCTTCTACTTTTCAAAGACGACGTTTGTTTAAGGCAGTTATGAAAAAGGTGAATAAACTTACTAATTCACAATCAATCACATTAATTGATTTTAGATCCACACCATGAAGGCTAAAGTCCATTAGTCAACTACCTAATTTAAGTCGCAATTATAAAAACAACTATTTAAAAGTCCAGTTTTATAAACTGCTTTGTCTCTTGGATACAAAATTAATGTGGTTCAACATTTAACTGAAGAATAAATTTGTATATAATCATTTAAATTTAAACCGTTATAAAGAAAGTTGGGAAATTACTCCGACGAATTCTTCGGCTGAGGGATTGGCAGTTTTATGACTTGCGCTCCTCTATCCGTTTCCCAAATGAAATGGACCACCACGAGGTATTATCGCATGGTTAAAGGCCATTTATGATTATTAGAGGGATTTAAACTCGAACAAAGACGATTCTGGTCACTTAAAAATCATTGAGGATGTCAAGACATCAGTTATCTTTTATTTACCTTATCAAAGCTAAAAGGTTTTATTGATGTCTCAATAAAGAAACTTCAACCGGATTTCGTGAGGACAAGCAGGAATTGAAATGCGTTTTAGTTACTAATTTGTCTTTTTAGCGAATTTCCCATATAGGGAATAAGCTATTACCGTAGTAGGGGCCTACTCATGGTAAGACCTGGACCCGGGATCGATTTACTTTTTCGTTTTGAGGTCCCTAGAGGCCAAAAACACCATCCGTTCAAATTCATATATATATATTTATATATGTGTCCGTTAGCGCGATAACTAGAGCAAAAATCATCCGATTTTGATGAAATTTGGTACAAATGTGTAAACCTACATTTATTCGAACGAGTTCGTGAACCAGCATGATCGGACTATGGGAACAGGGGTTTATGGGGTTAAAATTGGGTTTTACCATTTTTGACCCTAAAAACTTAAAATTTAGCATTTTCTTTCCAAACCATTTTGTAGAGCTTAAAAAACAAATAATTTAGTATATTGAAGCGTTATTATGCGCCTAATAATTACGGAGAAAATTCCAAAAAACTGTAAATTTATAATTCCCATGTTATTATTATGGAGAATAAGTAAACTGTTGTAGTTTGCTTGTTTATGAACATATTTTGATCAAATTTGGAAAATGCATTCATTTCATACTAAACTATTAACATTTTACAAAAAAAACGCCTTTTTACCCTCCCTGTTGCAGCAACCTAATTCCTCGTTAAACTAATTTTATTTAAATAGGGAATTAATGTGATATTTTTAAGGAGACATTTTAGTGTAAATCCAACCAGGCAAATAGAAATTCGCTTAGTCTGCAGGTTTGCTGTGGCGGGGGTATTCAAACATTATATTTGTTCAAAGGAGTTTATCCACACCCCTTTAGTAATAAATTGTATCTTCAACGATTCCAAAAGCATATTCACAAACAAAAAAATATGGTTTAAACTAGCTTAAGAACCACAAAAGCTCGTAGATCCAAAAAAATAGAACATTTGTTTCTGGTCCTTGATTACCTCCATCTGATGATTCTCGGCAGCGTCGTTGATTGGGCTCTTTCCATACTTGTCGGTTACCAGCTTGGCACCGTGCCTCAGCAGCCATCGGACCACCTCCACGTGACCTCTAGAGGCGGCGAAGTGAAGGGGTGTCGCGCCGTCGCCGTCCCTCAGGTTAGGGTCCACCCCCTGGTCTTGAACCTGCGGAACAAACATAGCAGTACAGCGTTAGAACCTGTGACTAGAGACTACAGTAACTGGAATCCTATGATTTCTTGTTTATTTTCTTATTGGAAGGCATTACTAAATACCAAAGATTCGTGGTGGTTGAGAGCTTTGGATGACTAGGAAATAACCCTATGTACATTTTATATACCCCTAAATTAGCCATCAATAGGCCACTAAGGGTTGAGGCCATGAGACTCGGTTTATGTATATTTGAATTATGTGAAAATATGCGTGAAAAGAATGAAAATACCCCAACAGCTCTCGCCATCGAGGTAAAAATTATGATGTAGCCTACAATACTGGCATGGCAAATTTTTATAGCAAATGTTTTTTTACAGAAAATATTCCCTTTTTTCGTCCGTTTGAGGTGATCATAAACCAAAGGAGAGCTCTGCTGGATGTTCTATCCCCCCACAGGATATTGGGGAATTAAGTAAGCCATACTCAACATTCCAGAAATGTATTTAGTTCTTATTATTTTCTACGAAACAAACAGCACGCATACACTCCTGGAGGATCCTGTGACTCTGCATTCCATAACCTGAGTGGGATTGACAGAGCACTGGTTGACTGTAATCAAAAGAAGTACACTTTCAAGCGCCTTATAAAATGCTATAGGCCTACTTTGGAAATCTTGTAGTGAGCTGACAAATCTATCAGCTGACAGATGTTTTAAATAGTTTTATTGAATTTTGGTTGCTAAGAAGAGAAAAATAAACAAAGAGACATTCTTCTAGGCTTTTCTAACAAAAGTGGTTCATTTTTATTTGCTCTTGATTGTTAATTAATTTTAAAAGTATGATAAATTAAACAATAATGTTTAGTGGAAACCTCTAGACTTTTATTTAAAGTATTTCTATTATTTTAAAGAGGTTCTTTTCACTAAAATTGATGACCCCGACGTGATCTGTCACATTGACTTTAGCCCCAAACTCAATCAATTGTTTCACAATGAGAAATGAATGTCTGAAAGAACTTCTGAGTCACTAATCTGCAGATATCAACGCCCAAACGTTTCTCAAAGAAACTCCTTTGTATGTGGCATCCCAGAGAAATTGTGTAAAGAACGTGAAACTTTTAATAGAACAAAAAAAATGTAATGTTAATCTTAGCCAAGTTTCGGACATGACTCCACTTCATGTTGCATGCAGTGAAGGTAATGTATTCATTGTGAAACAATTGATTGAGTTTGGGGCTAAAGTCAATGCAACATATCACGTCGGGGTCACCAATTTTAGTGAAAAGAACCTCTTTTAAATAATAGAAATACTTTAAATAAAAGTCTAGAGGTTTCCACTAAACATTATTGTTTAATTTATCATACTTTTAAAATTAATTAACAATCAATTGTCTAGAGCAAATAAAAATGAACCACTTTTGTTAGAAAAGCCTAGAAGAATGTCTCTTTGTTTATTTTTCTCTTCTTAGCAACCAAAATTCAATAAAACTATTTAAAACATCTGTCATCTGATCTGTAGTGAGCTGACAAATCTATCAGCTGACAGATGTTTTAAATAGTTTTATTGAATTTTGGTTGCTAAGAAGAGAAAAATAAACAAAGAGACATTCTTCTAGGCTTTTCTAACAAAAGTGGTTCATTTTTATTTGCTCTAGACAATTGATTGTTAATTAATTTTAAAAGTATGATAAATTAAACAATAATATTTAGTGGAAACCTCTAGACTTTTATTTAAAGTATTTCTATTATCCAAGTAAAGTAAGTAAAGTATTCTATTATTCTATTATTCTTTTCACTAAAATCTGACCACATTACACGAATAAAAAATATGTAGATGGTATCGACTCACCATCCACTTGAGACAGTTGAGGCAGCCCATCTGCGACGCGGCGTGTACAGGCGCCATGCCATCCTTGGCCCTGACGTACAGCGATCCTCCAGCCTCCAGTACCAGGAACTTGAGGACCTCCAGGTGACCTTCCTGTGCTGCCAGGTACACTGGTGTCACGTCGTTGTCCATCTGGGTGTTTGCGCTGTAACAGACAAGAGATACTGAGGATACTGCAGTAAAATATACTGTGGATGTTAGATGGAAGATAGCTTTCTACGAGATGAAGAAATGGCCCGATTAACAGCTTTGAACGTGAATAAAGTATATTTGCGTGTTAGTGTTGAAACCAGTTGCATTTTCTGAGGAAGAACAACGTAATATTGGAAAGCTGTACAAATTCCTCAAGTCTGTGTGTATAGATTGACGGAGATTGCATCCATCACTCTCGTGCCAAAGTTCGAGAACCTGATAATTCTACCATAGGTAAATACTGTATCATAGATAAAATATACTCTATTATAGATATAACATCCTTTAATACAGTATTAATATCCGGTTTATGAGGAGGGTGATTTGTTGTCTACTGTTTGTTTCTTGTTATTCCCAACTTTGGAACTATTTTATCTATTCCTCTTATGTTCCTTGGTATTATAACAAAATTTTAGAGAAAAGTTGTAAAATTCACGCAAAAATAAAGAACAACTTTTTTGAGATCAATAAATAATTTATTTAAGTGTTTCATTTTTACTTTAAGATGAGAATACTAGTTGCATTATTCAAAGTCAATGACTGCATACAGGGTCCTTCTTGGTCCTTCTCATTCAATAATTGCCGCGGACATAAACATATCTAACCTTGTATACAAATTATATACAGAATTAATGTAATAGGCTGAATTAATTACCCTAATTTATAATGTTAAAACGCGTCCAAGTACTGTAAAGTAATAAAGTAATGAAAGGTACACAAATAAAATCCCTTGATGTCTATGGCGTCCTGGTGACGTCATCAGATATGCTCATGTCACTTATCCTCAAACTATTCATTAAATACGTTACACATGTGACAGGTCTAAAATATTGGCCAACAATAAGTTGTTGAATGAAAACAGATGTTTTTGCAGGTAAACATTGCATTCAATTACTGCTGCTGGCAGAACCATTTTCGCAGTGTTTTTTAATAAGTAAAATGTTTTCTTCTCATATTTTCAAGAGCCTCACAATGTTCCAGAAGGGTGGTGACTACCACTTCCACTTGCCGTTTGACATGGAAGATGACTTCTCAAGGACTTTCTTCGGCGCGGTGGTCTGTGGAGCCGTCGTCGCCGTGGTCTTCTCCGTCCTTAGAATCAGATTGTTCCGACTACTAGACGAGCCTGAGTTTCCCAATGAGAAATTGTGAGTAGTGAAAATTTAAAACGTTGGGAGACGAGATTTTGCAGCTTTGATACGTTATGTAGGAATGGTTTACGTATAATATGTGATGTTACAGCTTCTATTCGATTCTTGGCATTGACTTTGAATTATGTGCATTGTGATACATTCTAATTTTGTAGACAAACATAAAATGTATTGTGTTTAGCCTTGCTGTTATTTTTTTTTGTAAATCGTTGATATGTGACTCTATCGTACTAATCGTATTCAAATGTTAACTTTGTACCTATTAAATCTGTATACAAAGTTTTCGCTTTAGTTATTTTAAGTTTAGTTATTGGTCAAATTGATACTTTTATTGCTCGATAATCCGATGGAGACGGATATAAATATTTCGCTAAACGTTTGTTTGTATCGTCTTTTACTACTTTTACTTAATGACGAGCCACGGAAAAGAAAACTATGCATCATACACATAAACCAATTACGTCACTGACTCGAAATGGTTTGTCCTGTATAATTTTAAGTTTTTATAACATTTTCCTTAAAATAAAATTCTTGAGTAGGTAGCTCAGTCGCGCAACAGATTGTGAAGCCAAGGCAGCGTTAAATGCCGTAGGTTCACATCCCGGCGTCTCTTCATTCTTGTATTGCACCAGCTTGTCCAGAGGCAATAGAAGGGGAAGTTTAATTTGATAAGATGCCATTAACCTTTTTCTAAATAGCTCTACCATACACAATGTTTACTTTACTAGTTAGGCAGTTCAGTTAACACATGCACGTAACAGTATTATTTATGTATTTTTTATAACTACCGACCACACGTAATTTTGAAATGTTACTATTAAATTACTAATTACTAAAAACAAATACAAACTAAAATATTCAAGAAATATGGAGATAACCTTCATGACTCAGAACACCATGAGTAAAATACTGCATCCACGTAGGTAGGCGTATAGAAGATCGTGACAAATTTGACGCGTCAGGAATGTACGAAAAAAATTGTAACGATTGTGATCATGCTTATATCGGACAAACTATAAACTTTATTAAACGTTTCAAAAACCACACATCTGCATGGAGAAACAACAAAACGGAAAGATCAAATATCGCACAACACTTGTTACAAAATGGCCACTCATTAGGAAAAATGAAATGTGATCAATTGCTTGGGAAGAATTGTATATTTACAAGGAAAATTTAAAAGCATTTTAGACGTATACCACATCTATTTATTTTTTTTTCAGATAATATTATCGTACTACTTACAAAAAATGCACTGACGCACCTTTCTCATACAAGCCCAAAACCATGCATGTACTCAATCTCAAGTTTTTTCTCTGTCATTGAATGACCGATTGGCCTCGGTAAGGTGGTAAGGTCGGTGACTCCTCACACCATAATACAACCATAACACGCAATGATGCCAACCTCCAACACAATATATCCCTTTGTGTGATGGCCAGGGCACCGTGCAGATTCATTTGTGGAGAGTGAAACGACCAGGCACAGGTGTGAGACATTCTACAGTTCCATGATTAGGTTTGGATCTGATTTAAATTGCGAATGGAAAGCGAATATTACCAGATTTGCTGTGCGAGTTTCATATTTCGTTATTATATTTGGTTGAATTTGTAAACACTAAGTTCCGGCTCCTTTGATAAGAAACGTATAATAGTGAAATCATACCTACTTGTCGTGGGCATGAAGAAATCACAATTTCGCTTTGAGAATGGGTTACCGTTGAAGAACCTCCATAATAGATTGCTGTTTTGTCGCATTGTGCTTTAAATAGTTTTCAGACACACTTAAGTACTAGGCTAATCTTATACTATTGCGTAGGATAAAAATGACGATACCGGCTGTGGTATGGGGAGATGCAACACTTTTCAAAGGAGCGAATTATATAGAAAAATCGCAAAGTCTCTAATATCGACAATTAGAGCACTTTGTCCCCAATCGTAAAAAAAACTATACCTTTGGTTTGGCCGATGCCAGCAGTCTTTAGCGTAGTACATGGAATGTTATCATAGCATAGCCGTACTCCACGTTCTACAATAATTTGTTTTTACTTTCACACAGAAAGCAAATTCCAAACTAGATTTTTTTATCGCTAGTGAACAAGAGTTCTTCATCACATTGTTTATAAAAGTATCCTCTCAGATTGAAGTAATTGAGTGGTATTAACACATTCTACAGGTGGATTGAGCACTTAATGCAAATTATCACATCATGTTACATCAGCGGACGTGGTATCGGCCTAGTATGTGACCGGTCCACGGGTCGCTGCCGCCGCGGCCAACACAACCTGTTAGCAATAAACCTAACGCCAAGTGCTAGTTTAGTTAAATGTAATGAAAACAGTTACTTTTTGAACACCCCGTTACTCAGGAAATTTCAAAGCCTAAAACTGTATTTTTTGGGATTATGCCAGGTTTAGGAACTTGAATTGCATTAGTATTCCCTTTTTTGCTATAGCTCAAGAGCGCAGACAACAAAAAGGCTATACTAGGCTAGTATAGCACACCCGTCATGGTGTAAAATGTCTATGTTTTCGATTTTAATTTAAAAAACAAATTAAAATAGTAAAAATGTACATTTGAAATCAATCACAATACATTTATCATAGTGCATTCATTACGCATATTTAAGAGCCACGTGAGTTCTTTACATAGAACTCACAATGTTTTAACAAAGTTATGGCTTGGTTAAAACATGTTTACAAAAATGTTCACGTTTTAGTAATTTCTAATAGAGGAAAATATTAACGAATAATGTATAAAAAAAACTGAGTTAGCTTTGAGACCAAATGATTTGACTGTTTGACACAAGGATTTGACACTGTATCAAATTGACCGACGTTTCTCCAAATCGTTTAGTTGTGTATCAGATTTCAAGAATAGCAATAAACCAACTAACCAGAGATATTTCGAATGGTGTAAATCTATGCTAGTGCCATATGCTTAGTCGCATAGTACATTATGTTGCAAAATAATCTCTGCTATATTTTTTTGGGAGCTTTCAGACTGTTAAGAACATCCAAAACACATTGTTCCTCATCACCCGTTCTGTGTTTTGATCCGAACTCGGCATCCACGTACAAAACACGTGAGAGAGGCAAAACAGCTCCAATAACGGGACGAGGAGGATTGAATCTGGTCCAAAATCAGAACGAGACGTGCCAAGTGTAAGTGGACACGAGACAAAACCTTCAACAGTTATACTTGGTGTGTCTACGACAGTGCGTGGATGTAATTGTTGCATTCCTCGGATTGCAACAATGTTTCCACCATGTGATGTGTAAAGTGTAATGACTCAATGCAGAACCAGCAACTAACAGCTGTGCGTGGATCTTGTTTACCAGATTATGGAAACTTCGTAATTAGATTTAGTTGATTCAATTTTCACACTATTATATGTTGACATCAGAGAAAACTTCTTATCCTATAACGAGTAAGACCTGAAGCCTGTATTTATGTGTCTTTCATTTTGGTTACGTAAGTGTTTAGAGACAGTTTTTTTTTCAAAAACCCCATAAAACATTGTTGATTAAATCTTACTCTTCAGGAATTAAGTTACAACTTTGTGTTTTTTTGTGTGACCAGAGGCCAAACAATAGTTTACAATTAAATTTCTATGTTCAGCCATTGACTATTGGAAACTGTTGTATTAATAGTCGTCAAAGTTCAGTTTTAAGAAATTTTAGTTTGTCAAACAATAAGGGGAAGTAGTGAATGACAAAAATATCTCACAAAAAACTGATGAAATCAAACATTCTATGTTGAAGTTGTAGTCAAGTCAGTTTTAGGATGAAAGGTATACCATT